GGAGATCACGAAACGCTTGGGTGCTGTCGGTGCTACTCGCCTTCCAGGATGGGGACCGCGTGATCCTCACTGTGCGTGGTTGGAGACATTACAAGATATGGCTGCCAACCGGTTCCAGTGGCATTCTTGTTGTCAGTTTCTGTCCAGATTGGCTGAGTGAATGTCTGGAGGTGTAGGCACCTCGGAATGATTGTGTAAGCTAGCACTACGATGATGATGATGATGATTATCATGAAGAAATCCGCTGCCAAGGTTATTAGCAACTCCGATAACCCACGACCGCTTTCGTCTTTCTTGGGGTTCATCAGGTAGGCGCGAACTCCGAGTTTTAGTCAACCTTATGTTCTCTCTGAACCCAAATTGCAGCAAGTTTGCAAACACATTTGCATAACAATTTGTTTTCCACGAGAGACTCACCTGAAACCCAGCTGAATTTGTCGTTCATGATATTCATCAACTGATTGTACTGAACAAAAGCTCCTTCATGTTCATTTGGTATGATATTCGAGATATCGCAGTATATTTACCTAGAAGAAGCTACTCAAGGTTGTTGAGTAGTTTCTTGCATGAAACTACACTCCTATGTCTCGATTGTTGTACCAACTGAAACATGAGTTAGCTGTTGTATAGCACATTCAGTTGGAGAATACCATAGACGAGAGACCTAGCTGGGTTTCAGGTGAGTTTCCTGGACGAGAAGTCGAACTTCAAGTTCATGAATTCCGTATGGGCATGTGATCAGGCGCACTATGATCAATTTATTTCCACATCTCACTAACTTTATTTCCTTTCAGAAGTGGCTGACGCTTTCGAATTTCCGTTCTCACTCGACACATCTTCCCGAAATGATAATGACATTCCATCGGTAGGTGTACTGAGCGATAACGTTAGAGCTATATAGTAAATGCTTTTAAGAATGAATTGTATTGACTAATATCAATCTGGATTTGTGTTTTTTACAGAGCTCGATAGAACTCCAATCTCTGTCAGAAAGTTCCGCCAGTGAGTGTAACCTTTTTCGTCGTAATTTTTACGGGGTATTTTGTAGCAGACTTGCAAATTTCACACTGTTTGAAAACTGATCAGGCTTGATTTGCTCACATCTTCACTCATTCCCTGTGGCGTCTTTGCACATCGATTTTGGCGTGTCAACGGAACGTACCTGGAAGTTCCCTTCCAAGTGTTTGGTTGATAATTAATACTAGTACTGATTGGGTGTCTGGATATGTTTGTGATAGACCCCCCTTTTCGTTCTCCAGTTTTGCATTTCTCATTGTACGGCGTTATTTAAGTAAATTGGCATTATTTGCACAGCATTTACGCACCAGTGTTCTCGCATTGATGTCGTCTGCGGTGACCCAGCGAGACAGCACCCATTCAGTCACGCAAGCTTAGCACTTGGGTGGCGCAACCGTACCAGTTTCCCGAGAAGATCTACGGACACGTTACCCTGAAGCGAATATATTTTTTGGATGGAATCAGTCCCTAATTGAGGTTCCGTGGTTTGGTATACTCCGTGACACGAGCTACTCACTAGGGTGCTCGTGTTTCGTATTCATTTCCGATTTAAACAGTTTGTACTATTTCACCCCTGCGGTTTTCTTCGGGTTGCATGCCGACCACCTACAAAAAGGTTCCCATAGCTAGTTGATATGAGCTTACGAATGTCTGGGTTTGGTGTGTCGGTTGACCAGTGCTCCTGGCCGGTCTTAGTTTTCGTCGACCGCGTTAGTAGCGATTTCTACGATTCATGGTCAGCCTCGAGTTGGCTTGTGTCATTTCCCGAGTAGTTGCTTTGTGTGCCTGCACTCAAATGAGCATTTCCGAGTTTGTTGGTAATGTGTTGGAATGTTGGTAGCTCGGGTGTATTGGTTGGTAATTGATCGGGTGGCTGTTGATCTGTCCGCCGAGCTTGGCAATCGATTTGCAAACGTTTCGTCACCATTCGAGGAGACACCTTCAGTGCGCTCTTGGTTGGGTAGTTCTTCTCTTCGTGCCTGCGTTTATATAGTCTACAAAGAGCAGCCTTTGCGCTGTAACCTGGATTCTGATTGGCCCGTTCTTGATCTGTATTGCGTCGTGGTCGGATTCTCTGTTGGTTTGTGGCGTGCCTCCTATTTTTAGTAGCTTGCTGTTCTATTGATTTCTTCTTTGAGTCCTTGTTCGGCCTCGGGTTCCCGGATTTGTGTACGAATACGGCGTTCCCATCCCTTTTTTTCCATAACTGAGGGATTCGGTGATATATCCATCCTTTTTCAGTGGACAACCGGTGCCCTTTCATACCCAAATGAGTATTGGTCAACCGTCAACCAGTTTCGAAGCGCCAAGTAGAGTTCATGTTACCCCGGGTACTTCAATTTCAAAACATTTTATTGCAGACCACGGGGACGTTTGGAGATTACTTAGGTTTCCAAGCCGCCTAAGCTTACATCTGTAGGGCAGGACAGATCGGTACCCCTAACCCGTTGATTGCAATTATGACATGCGATTGACCAGTATTGCTTATTGGTTCGTTTTTCAATGCATGTCTTGGCTTTTTGAACAGAAGACCGAGAATTCTTGTATCCAGTCACGTATTGCTCCTACGGGTTGGGCGTCAATACCTTGCCGATCGCTGTGGGCTGCCTGCTAAGCCCTTTTGATGACACTATTCTCATAGAACCGTTGCTTGCAAAAGTTAGGGGATTGTCTTAGATTTTCTTATTCTGGTAATATATCTGGATAAAATTATTGACTTTGTACAGTGGTTCTCAAGAGCTTTTCTAACTTGTCAGGACCAGGACAATCCGCCTCTTGCGAGATCTGTAAAAAGTGTTTTCCTGGGCAGGCAAGTCTACGAGTTCACAATGAATCTATGCATCTCGGTAAGTATGACTGATTTTAATAACCCTCAATTGTTATTCACGATTATATCTTGTCCAAGTTTACATTGGAGCTTCAGTTGCGCATCCTTTGATTACGAAAATGGGTGTCCGTTAGCCATTTAGTCGTCTGACAGTCAGTCTTCACTGTATTCACTCCAGCCGGCGTTTGCAATTTTGGCATGATTTAGATATTCGTATTTGGAAGATCGGTGGTTGCAGCCCGGTGAACATTCTCTTTATGCTTTTATCTTCACATAGGCAACAAAAACCCACAGTGCACAATATGTTTGAAAAAATTCTCCACCCTATCCTACTTGCGAATGCATATCGCAACTGTCCACGAAGGTGAGTTACTTCGTTGTACATAGGCTTTGTTTTCCGTTGGAAGTATTCTGAAATCGCCGCTTACTTTTGAAACTATTACCCAAACTCTGAAGGATTTTCAGTGATTCAACGTAGGTAGCTCCAAGTTATTTTGTAGGTCTCATGGGGACATCAGGTCAAAGAGTTTGAGGTACGTCGAATGGGTTTCGGGAGGAATACCTCCCCCATGTAGATGAACTACTGAATTTGTCGGTTGCGCTTGTTATTCCACGTAACCCTTATTACAAACTGCAGTTCACTTCAAAGAATCCTTTTTGTCCGGTCATGAGTAAAACGAAAGCGACCCCTGGATGTTCACTGTACGATTTGTAGGCAGATTTTAGTGGTACGGACAAGGAAGTTGTTTTGTTGGCTGTTAGCACCGACGAGGACCCTTGGATGAGATACATTGTCCGCTAATAATACCGCAAAACGGCTAATCGCACGAACAATGGTATTCTCGCATCAAATTGGATGCGTAATCATCCCGGTTTACCCTATGTGAGAGCAGCAGCTCGATCCAACGTCAACGACGTGGTTGGGTTATTGCCTGGCTATCTCGCCTTCATTCCTCCTATCCTCGATAGTTGGGACTGCATTGGCTGTAACCAACGTACCTTCGGTGTATGGTTTGTGGTTCAAAACTGAGAGCGCGTCGTGAATAAACCCGTGACTATCCAATTCTTGCTGGGTTTCTGGTAATGGCTACTCTGGTATGTATGACGTGCTGGGATAACACAGCCGCCAAAGTGGTGCGCGTACTAATCATCATCAGTGGTAGCAACATCAGTGTCTCACTGCCGTACAGCCACGTTAATTTATTTCAAAGAACTTCCCCTCAGTCCAATTGCTTACCCTACATATACTCGTGCGTGCCTACCACTTAAGGTATTTTTCCGATCGTTAGGCGACCATGTTTACCGCAGTCCACCGCTTACTTTCATCGGAAGGCGCACCCACACAGACCTATCTATCCCAAATCCGTGCGCGAATATGCCCCACACCTTTGCACAACTGGCAAGTTGGTCAGTAGTCAAATCGCGGAAGTCTCATTGTTGGTTGTTATATGTGATCACTGATGTCTCTTGGATAAACCGTGATGTGTAATTCGCCAAAACTGGGATCTGATTTGCTCAACTGCACGCTTGCGTGACCCTGCTCTTTTTGTCTCCCATTCCAGGCGTTAAAGCCCATTCTTGCTCCATATGTGACAAAAGCTACACTCAGAAGCATTCACTCAAGAAACATCAAATCACTGCCCACCCAGGTAGGTATTTTTGCATATTTCTTGTTTAGTTGACTACTGTCGACTTAGTTTCTTCGCTATCGCACGATGCATCCCTGACTAACGGTGACCCAAGTGTGAGCAAAGACGCTTTGGTAGCATGCATGCAGTTCGCTCATTTCATTGACCCAAGTACGGCACCGATGGACAAGTTGTATCCATCAACACGTAAATCGTATATATTATTGTTTAGTAACAGTGTATGTGTGTGGAACTAAAACGTGATCTGCATAATGGTGTTATGTTTACGAAGAACTTTTGACACTAGTCGGTTTGGTTGTAGTTCGTTGCTCTGCTGGTCAACTTATCCCATTTAGTGCTCTTACAGCAGTCTGATCGTGAGCTGATCCATATGATTTAACCTGATTTATTATGTACAGATTATTTTATCTCCATGGAAGACGCATCACCGTCCCACGGACCTCAAAATCGAAGAACTCCGCATACTGTCACCGCGGCCTGTGCCTTTCCTCAAACCAAGCGGAAATCACTGCTTGAATCTCCTCCACAGACACGTACAATGCTGTCAGCCTCTTGCGAGGACTTTACTGTAAGTTACCTGTGTGGATATGGCTCTTTGAATCACTCTATGGCGCCTCTAAAATGCCAGCAAATTCCGTCTCTTTAAAGCAGTTGCAATAAGGAGATGATAGCGCTCAGAAAAGTTAGTTGTTCGTGAGTATTACTCTTTCATTCTCTCTGGAGTAGGCACCACAAACCTCCTAATATCCAAGGAGCCAGTATGTGATTGATTGAATCGCGGGCCGGCGATATTGTTTATATTTCTCTACAGTTTGCTTTCTTACAACTGTTACGTTTTCTTCTAAAAAGGTGCTAGTAACTCCGCATAATTAACGCTAATCAAGGTTCACCAGCAAGGATTGTTCCTCCGCAGAAATTAACCTCGTGTTGATTGAAATCATGGACAGCTGTCACATATTGCCTTGGAAACGTTTATACTTGTAACCCATCTCTAATCCAGTGGTTCATATTCTCTTATTTGCGCATATTTTTTTCTGCCGTTTATTGTTCAACTCTATCAGCTATAAATCATGTACCATTGGTACATTGGTTCCAGCTGCTACAGTTTTGATCACCGGAAAACGGAAGAGTGTGGAACATATAGGAAAGCATTGGAGGTGATGGCATGTTCAGTTAGTTCGGAAATTTGGTAGCGACGGATTGAAGGCGATAGCTTTGATGCACGAGCGCCATCGACTACGCGATTGGACCGTTTCTGCCAGTGTCATTGACCATTAATGATTTAAGTTCCAGGGTCCCCATCCAGGGAGGCGGCATTTGTCGACCTGTTTCAGTTTACTGGTTAATGTTTTCATACTTCGTTGCCAAGTCATACACTGTTCACCCCTCGGTCGCCTCCACTCATCATGGGTCTAGGCGAAACGAGCTCTGTGAGGCAGACAGTCTTCTGCCATGCGGAGTACATGCCCTAACCAGTGTAATCTATGAAGCGTGAATAATTCATCTATCGCCCGCGAGTCCATTCTTCCTAGTACCATCTAGCGTACTTCACCATTACTAATCCCGATGTACTCATCAGACCGGGCCACATGTTTCAGAGACGTCGGTGTTCAAGTAGTGATCTCTGCACGTAAAGACCACGTTTCTGATAAGTAAAATAATATGGATCGAACCGCCACAGTGTAAACTCTGTCTGTCCTTGACAGACAAACTGACGTCACGTCGGCACCATAGGTGTCGGAGGTTGGCAAAAGCTGCCTTGGCCTTTCCGATTCAAGGATTAGTCACATCTCCGGCCAGCTCACCTGTACAATTGTCCAGACATAAAAGTTTATCTATCGTGTCCACTGGCTCGTCTGCAATCATGAGGTCTGGGCTTGATTTAACCTCTTTCTTGTAGCAGCACTTGACACTTTGCAGGTGCGAAGTGCATGTTAAACTGTACGACAGAGTTATTTAGGTTACTTAAAATCGTTTGAATTTGTGAGGAGTTTGAACCAAGGAGAGCAGTATCGTCTGCATACTCAATACCTATGAGCGAACATCCAGGGAGCATCCGAGTTCCGAGATTTCAGGGTCAGACGGAGAAATAGCAAGCAGCACATCATTAACAAAGTTGAACAGGAAAGTCTAGAGAGAGGACAGCCTTGTCTTACACCATTGGACGTGCTGAACTCAAGCGAAAGCTTAGCGTAAACTCGTACGTGCCCACAGGAGTTCACCATCATCATCATGGTTGTATGTCAGGAGTTCGCATACAGAGTCCTAAGGGGTATAAATTTGGAAGGGATATCTTTGACCACCAGGTACTGCCACAGTTTCTGACCGTCGACAGAGTCAATATCAGCTTTCAGATCAAGAAAATCTGTCACCGTGAGACGTATGAAGGAGTGGCGGTGTTCAAGAACATCTAAAAGTAAAGATATGGTCGATACATCCTCGAACAGGGCGAAGTCCAGCTTGGTTCTCTTAAATCTGTCTCCCCGATAGTCCATTAACCTCACAAAATAATTCCAGATAGCAGTTTAGATGCAACAGATACCAGGCGGATACCACGATAGTTTTCGTGTACCGTTCTTGCGCCTTTTTTGAAATATGGGCTGACGGTCAAGGGACTCCATTCGGTTGACAATCTGTTTTCGTTCGAAATCTGCAGTATGGTTATCAGACTGCCAGGACCTCGTCACCTTTGAAGTGTGTGGAGTGCAGACCATCTGGATTGGGTGCCTTGTTTTACTTGAGGATTGATATCTCGCTGGATTGCGGTTGCTGAAGGGACGTGTTTATCAAGCTACAATACGGTTTGTTTTGTTGTATGGCTGTGAGACTTGGCCTATTCGAGCAGCGGAACTGAGACGTCTTCAGGTGTTCGACGATCGTTGTCTCAGAACCATACCTCGTGTGAGTTGGTGTCGGCGAATCCGTAACGAGGCAGTTAGAAAGCGCGTTTTCGGTTGTGTAACGGGTACTTCCATTGAAGAATGTGTCCAGCACCAGAAGCTGCGTTGGTTGGGACATGTGTTACGTATGCCGAGTCATCGTTCGCCGAAGAGAGTATTGTTATCCATGCCCAATTCGGAGTGGCGTAATCAGAGAGGTGGCCAACCCTTGACTTTGCAGAGGAGTATGAAGGAGATCACGAAACGCTTGGGTGCTGTCGGTGCTACTCGCCTTCCAGGATGGGGACCGCGTGATCCTCACTGTGCGTGGTTGGAGACATTACAAGATATGGCTGCCAACCGATGTCAGTGGCATTCTTGTTGTCAGTTTCTGTCCAGATTGGCTGAGTGAATGTCTGGAGGTGTAGGCACCTCGGAATGATTGTGTTAAGCTAGCACTAAGTCCCTTCCCTGTCCACCTTTACTCTTTTCTTTACAATAAGGCTTTCAAATAAATGATGGTTGTGCAGCAGTGAAAATCAGTGTTGAACACTGATGTCATGCTGTCGATGACGATGTGGTTGCTGATGGTGGGCCCGTGTCAATGTTCCATTAGGACCCGCTTGATCCTTCTGGTGGTTATGTTGAAGGAGACCAGCTGAACTGCTGTTTGCAGTGTTCAGCCTATCGCTCAAGACGACGATTGAGGAAGTGACATGATGTCGAGCCTTTCCAAATATTGTTTCACTGAAACCTGGTTTCTTTTGACCGGTTGGTCGAATCAGTTTAAACAGGACGCGGCTCTTGCCTGCAGCGGAAGACTTCTCGATCTCTTTGGCTTTCGAAATCCACCAGCGGTCTCTTTACTGCGGATAGTCTTACTTTTCTCCCAACTTCAGCTGTCTCCCTTATGGTTGCCGCAGCATTGATCCGTTTCAAAATGAAAACACCCTTTTGCATTGACCCATCGCCTAGTTTTTATACCATCCGTCAACTTCGAATGGCCTCTAAGCTTTGAATTGCTAAGCGCGATGTAGTCACATTTAGGTTAAGAATAGTACCCCATCTCACCGATTGTCGTCACTGTTGTTAAAACTGGTTATGTCGATACTCGCTTCACTGTCGAAAATCCCCTATAGTTCCCGCATTGATGCACCTTATTGATCTCTGTTGCCTGCCTGTATGTTGGTGTATACTACTGCTACTACTACCAGTATTTGCTGAGCTATTTAGTGACAGACAACGGGGTTGTGGGCGCCAATTGACCGATTTTACTCAGAACGCATAAGATACATTGGCTAGTCCCTTGTCGGACTGGATAGGAGTCGTTTCTCGGGGGGAGGGCAGTTTCAGTGGTAAGGAGCAAAAACTTTGATCGTGTTTGAACGAGAGTTATGATTGATTGTACAGCATTGAAGCATCAGTGGCAACACTGATGTTGCTGTCCTTGATGATGATGATGGCATGATTGATACCGCGTATTGTCTACGAGATCTTCAGTACAGAAATGAATCACGTGCACATGGTTGAAAGTTCTCTTTGGATGTGAAGCCTGTCCCACCGACCTCTCCACTATTTTTATCATTCTCACATTATTGTTGCTTGGATCCTAATCGACTGATGGCCGAAAGTAAAACTTGATACCGTATTCGGCATATATCTAGAGCAACAGTTCTCATGAAACACGCGACAAGCAGCTTGATGTGTCCCCACAGAGCCAGAATTTCCCACAACTCCGAAGCTGCTGATTCAGAGTCTTCAGTTCATTTAAGTACATCGGTACTTCGGAGAACATGGCCTGCTACGCTTGTCCAGTCTTCCTCGCAAGGAAACTAAACATACGGGTTCACAGTTTCCCGTAATTTGACGATTCCGTATAATATAGAGATAATTTCCCGGGTCATGCTACAAATTGTCACCGAGGCGAATATCTGATTTGTCATTCAGTGCAAACACACGGGTTCTGTGCCGTCCTTCAGCGGATGAACGTACGAAATACAGATCTCTCTCCTTAAATCTATCACCTTTAGTTCTCTCATAGCAAGGAGTTTACGATCGAGATACCATTCGGGACGCTAGGGTTGTTTGCTGTAGACGGATTAACATTACTGCTGAACCAAATTTCGGTACATGTAACTGTTTTCCTAGGGAAGTCTCCTTTCGGAGGACTGCAGAAAATTAGCCTTGACTCCACGGTGCCACCACTTGAGTGCACCTCTGCTCCACGGGTCTCACTTCGCATATTGAAGTTCAACCCAAGTGGGGAGGGGGGCAGTGGTTCCAACATTTGAAGCTTGGTGTGTGCGTCCTTGGGCCGAACGCATTTTCGTACACAGCCACGAGTGCTACCTTATCTGTTAATAGCACCATTATTATTGTGGGTGTTGGATTGTATGCATCAGATTAAGACCTATTAAGCCTCCTTTAGAATATGAGTCCCAGTACATATCCTCATTTCTGCTTGTTTCAGGTTGGAACGCCGTCGTCGAATGAGGCTTGAGACCTCGGCAGCAAAGCATTTACTCAGGTTAGTACTTAATACTTAGCTGGAATCTAGGAAAGTAGTAACCTTCGCTGGTATAATTTTCTGCTAAGGGTTAAAAAGTAGTGTCATGGCCGTCCAAATAGTTGATTTTTCAAATTGCTGTTTACTGTGTTTCGAGCTTCCCGTCCACTATCATTGATACAGCGCGATGGTCCGCGGCGCTTGAATAGACTGACACTTCTCTGTGCTCCCATAACTGCCCACCCCTCTGTACACCTCTTGTATGTTGGCCTCTGTTGTAACACCGCTGTTGCAAGCAGAGCAGTAATGGGAAAGTTCCCCGGTTGACTGATAGAGTGGTACTGGTTGTTGATCCGTTCGCCGAGCTTAGCAATTAATTAACTGTCGTCACCAACCCAGAAGACATCATCAATGCGCACTCATGGTGCCGAAAGGTTTGCAAGCTAATTGCCAAGCTCGGTGAACAGATCGACAACCAATAAACACACCTGAGCTACCAACATTTCGACAGATTAGGTGATGGACCTGTGTTTTCTCCATACCTAAAGGAGCGCTGAAATCAGACCTAAGAAGCCAAGCGTTTTGGCGGTGAACGGTCAAATGAAACACATTGCACACGAAATTAAATGCACCAGACCTGCTGTACATTCTGCTCATGTAGTTATAAATTCGGTAGCAGACAAATTGTTTTATTTAGTATCTTAACTTCCTCTGCAGAGTAGAACATTTTTGTGCTGCCTCTGATCCCACTGTTTTCTTTCTTTCAGGTATCTGGATCATTGATCACAAACTTAGAACTTTCTAAAGCTTTTAAATGTTTTTACACCGATCTTTGCTGGCATTCGGTACTTGTGTATACCTCCCGATTTATTGGAATGCATTACAGTCATGGTGTCTACCTCAGCCACTTCGTAGGGTCTCGGAAAATGGACTATTGTATTTTTGCTCTTCTACCTTTACTGATGAATAGGTTTAACATCGTATGAACCCGATCTCAAATGACTCTTGTTCTCTAATCTATCGTTTTTACCACTGAAATTTTCTTATTATGATTTTCATCGACCACAAGAGATCTGACATCCAAACTATACCCAGTGTATTTATGAGGCACTATCCGATCGGTTCTGACGTTTCGCTTTTTACTGTACGATCTCGTCTGTACTTCATCTGAACAATACACTTTGGTCGCAGTTGACTTGTTGGTAACCATCTTCGTTGTAACCCTAGATGTTTCGCGATTGTAATTTTTTCACATGTTGACGTAGCCACCAGCATCTAGCTAGACGACTTACCCACGAAAGGGTTTGCCTTTTAGACATTGGAGCTAGCGTTTACTTTCCAAAACCCCTAAGTGTTAGACTGGCCACATTTTACGACACTGGTTTGTTGTGGCGACTAGAGTGGTCTTTGGGATCCACGTAAGGCTACCCATTTTTCCTTGAGCATTCAAACTTTTGTGTACGGGCATATGCAGTTTGGGAACAATGTGGTCAAGCCCCGAGCATCAATGTAAATAAGTGCATTATTGAGGGAGCTAACATGCACTAGTAATAGCATATCAGACCGCCCGCGCGTTATTCAATGGGGTCGAAATACTGGTAAAACCAGTCTGATGCTGCTCAAAAAGCAGCCGCATTTGCAAGGAGACAGAACGCTTTACTCCCTATGTCCTCAGGCCAGGCCGGCCCCGTTCAGCCGAGTGGGTCAGATCATGGCTTCTGGAAGGGTCCTCAAAAGAGCCCTAGTAATCATTGCCTCCCGGTTCAGACGTTCGAGTCAGACACCAAGGGCAATGTCTCGAAACAAAGCGTACATCTTCCCATCCTTGTGAGTCAGGCTTCTGAGTCAAGTGCCCAAGGTGGAATGCTTCGACTAAACTCCGTTCGGCTTGAGTATTATCACTGAGAATTATAATCCACCCTTCCAGCTCAGCTCACTGCACCCCCCTCCACATCCCCGTCCCACCCAGTGAATGATGCAGTGCCGTTGCCAACCTGTCTGTCTGTCAGTCTCAGCCATTGTTCTGTATCTAAACCTTTGCCCAGAAAAATAAACCAAAACAATACCTCACGTCGCAGCCTCTGATAGCCGTACACTATATCAAATTAGCCATAGTCATCTCTCGCTGAAGCCCTGCTTTCCCTCTCTGTTGATGTTTGTTGTGTTTCCAAAACACGCATACCCCACTTTGTGCACCTCAAGCCGGTTAGGACGAGCTCAGATGTTCCACATTTTACCGCCTCAGGTATTCTGTGATCCTGGCTCAGTGACTTGTGGTACCTAAAATGTGGGACTTGCATTCAGCCACAAGGCTGAAAGTGCCTCACTGGACTGGATCCCAGTAAACAGTCTTCTTTGCGCTGTGAGTTGTCTAACTCGTTTAAGATCAATGCAAATCGATGCGGTAAATTGCGTTTATTTTTCACATCAGCATACGCCCCAACACTGCAGTTCTGAGACTAAGGAGGACGGGTTTTGTCAATATCTGTCACGACTGATCCAGCCAGCAAGAAAAACGGATAGAATAATCTTGGCGGGTGATATGAATGCCGGAGGTGGACGACGGAGTCCGGAGGAAGCACAGTTAGGTGGCTGATTTATAATCGATGCTCAGTTAGCCTTGACTCCACGGTGCCACCACTTGAGTGCACCTCTGCTCCACGGGTCTCACTTCGCATATTGAAGTTCAACCCAAGTGGGGAGGGGGGCAGTGGTTCCAACATTTGAAGCTTGGTGTGTGCGTCCTTGGGCCGAACGCATTTTCGTACACAGCCACGAGTGCTACCTTATCTGTTAATAGCACCATTATTATTGTGGGTGTTGGATTGTATGCATCAGATTAAGACCTATTAAGCCTCCTTTAGAATATGAGTCCCAGTACATATCCTCATTTCTGCTTGTTTCAGGTTGGAACGCCGTCGTCGAATGAGGCTTGAGACCTCGGCAGCAAAGCATTTACTCAGGTTAGTACTTAATACTTAGCTGGAATCTAGGAAAGTAGTAACCTTCGCTGGTATAATTTTCTGCTAAGAGTTAAAAAGTAGTGTCATGGCCGTCCAAATAGTTGATTTTTCAAATTGCTGTTTACTGTGTTTCGAGCTTCCCGTCCACTATCATTGATACAGCGCGATGGTCCGCGGCGCTTGAATAGACTGACACTTCTCTGTGCTCCCATAACTGCCCACCCCTCTGTACACCTCTTGTATGTTGGCCTCTGTTGTAACACCGCTGTTGCAAGCAGAGCAGTAATGGGAAAGTTCCCCGGTTGACTGATAGAGTGGTACTGGTTGTTGATCCGTTCGCCGAGCTTAGCAATTAATTAACTGTCGTCACCAACCCAGAAGACATCATCAATGCGCACTCATGGTGCCGAAAGGTTTGCAAGCTAATTGCCAAGCTCGGTGAACAGATCGACAACCAATAAACACACCTGAGCTACCAACATTTCGACAGATTAGGTGATGGACCTGTGTTTTCTCCATACCTAAAGGAGCGCTGAAATCAGACCTAAGAAGCCAAGCGTTTTGGCGGTGAACGGTCAAATGAAACACATTGCACACGAAATTAAATGCACCAGACCTGCTGTACATTCTGCTCATGTAGTTATAAATTCGGTAGCAGACAAATTGTTTTATTTAGTATCTTAACTTCCTCTGCAGAGTAGAACATTTTTGTGCTGCCTCTGATCCCACTGTTTTCTTTCTTTCAGGTATCTGGATCATTGATCACAAACTTAGAACTTTCTAAAGCTTTTAAATGTTTTTACACCGATCTTTGCTGGCATTCGGTACTTGTGTATACCTCCCGATTTATTGGAATGCATTACAGTCATGGTGTCTACCTCAGCCACTTCGTAGGGTCTCGGAAAATGGACTATTGTATTTTTGCTCTTCTACCTTTACTGATGAATAGGTTTAACATCGTATGAACCCGATCTCAAATGACTCTTGTTCTCTAATCTATCGTTTTTACCACTGAAATTTTCTTATTATGATTTTCATCGACCACAAGAGATCTGACATCCAAACTATACCCAGTGTATTTATGAGGCACTATCCGATCGGTTCTGACGTTTCGCTTTTTACTGTACGATCTCGTCTGTACTTCATCTGAACAATACACTTTGGTCGCAGTTGACTTGTTGGTAACCATCTTCGTTGTAACCCTAGATGTTTCGCGATTGTAATTTTTTCACATGTTGACGTAGCCACCAGCATCTAGCTAGACGACTTACCCACGAAAGGGTTTGCCTTTTAGACATTGGAGCTAGCGTTTACTTTCCAAAACCCCTAAGTGTTAGACTGGCCACATTTTACGACACTGGTTTGTTGTGGCGACTAGAGTGGTCTTTGGGATCCACGTAAGGCTACCCATTTTTCCTTGAGCATTCAAACTTTTGTGTACGGGCATATGCAGTTTGGGAACAATGTGGTCAAGCCCCGAGCATCAATGTAAATAAGTGCATTATTGAGGGAGCTAACATGCACTAGTAATAGCATATCAGACCGCCCGCGCGTTATTCAATGGGGTCGAAATACTGGTAAAACCAGTCTGATGCTGCTCAAAAAGCAGCCGCATTTGCAAGGAGACAGAACGCTTTACTCCCTATGTCCTCAGGCCAGGCCGGCCCCGTTCAGCCGAGTGGGTCAGATCATGGCTTCTGGAAGGGTCCTCAAAAGAGCCCTAGTAATCATTGCCTCCCGGTTCAGACGTTCGAGTCAGACACCAAGGGCAATGTCTCGAAACAAAGCGTACATCTTCCCATCCTTGTGAGTCAGGCTTCTGAGTCAAGTGCCCAAGGTGGAATGCTTCGACTAAACTCCGTTCGGCTTGAGTATTATCACTGAGAATTATAATCCACCCTTCCAGCTCAGCTCACTGCACCCCCCTCCACATCCCCGTCCCACCCAGTGAATGATGCAGTGCCGTTGCCAACCTGTCTGTCTGTCAGTCTCAGCCATTGTTCTGTATCTAAACCTTTGCCCAGAAAAATAAACCAAAACAATACCTCACGTCGCAGCCTCTGATAGCCGTACACTATATCAAATTAGCCATAGTCATCTCTCGCTGAAGCCCTGCTTTCCCTCTCTGTTGATGTTTGTTGTGTTTCCAAAACACGCATACCCCACTTTGTGCACCTCAAGCCGGTTAGGACGAGCTCAGATGTTCCACATTTTACCGCCTCAGGTATTCTGTGATCCTGGCTCAGTGACTTGTGGTACCTAAAATGTGGGACTTGCATTCAGCCACAAGGCTGAAAGTGCCTCACTGGACTGGATCCCAGTAAACAGTCTTCTTTGCGCTGTGAGTTGTCTAACTCGTTTAAGATCAATGCAAATCGATGCGGTAAATTGCGTTTATTTTTCACATCAGCATACGCCCCAACACTGCAGTTCTGAGACTAAGGAGGACGGGTTTTGTCAATATCTGTCACGACTGATCCAGCCAGCAAGAAAAACGGATAGAATAATCTTGGCGGGTGATATGAATGCCGGAGGTGGACGACGGAGTCCGGAGGAAGCACAGTTAGGTGGCTGATTTATAATCGATGCTCAGCGAATGGATAATGGGGAGCGATTGCTTCAGTTGTGTGCAGATCACCGTCTGTTCCTGGCCGGTGCAAACTTCCAACACGCTCACTTGGAGGCCACTTACCGGAAGACAGTCAAGGATTCAAGTGGACCATGTGGCTATCAATTACCGACAGGGAGAAGCAATGAAAGCTTACCGTTTCTTTTGGGGTATGCAACTTAACTCCGCTCATGCCATTGTGCGGGCTCGGTTATCATTTCACTTTCCATCAGCACTACACTGAAGGGACGTAGCAAATCCGTTTACTAGCTTTGACAAGTTTCAGTAGCTCTAGAGTATTGAGTAGCGCAAGAACCTCACACGAAAACCATAGTCCCATTAGCGTGGTATCTGTGGCAACTAATGAGCTATCTGACATTATTTTCGGAATCAATCTGGGTTCCACCCTGATCGGGGATGCATTGACCACAATTTTATCCTGAGTTAAATTCCTAAACAGCGCCACTCTTTGATACTTAAGTACCTGGGCGCTTGGGTGGACATGAGCACTTGAAGGTCGTTCAATCTGGGGGCCCCAATAAAAAGGTATCAGGAACCGAAGTGAGAAAAGGCAGGAGTGCGGTGTTACGCGTTTCTGGTGAAGGAGGCATAATGAAAATACATTAGGGATATGATGGTACAGGGATTCTCGGGGACTGTCAGTGCTGTCGGGGATCTGAAAATAGAAAAGTGCTGAATAACGAAGGTAACAGAACAGCATTAGCTATATTGGCAACAATATTTTTACTCAGGGTGACTGAGGACCGCGTATTGTGGGAAGGTGTTTGCTTCCAAACCCTGTCTTTCGAAGACAAGGGATGCGTTGGGCAAACTATCCTCCTGGTGAACTAGTTAAGGAAAAAAATGACAGCCTCGGAAGTATTTTGTCAGGTCATCGACAAAGGCACGTAAAACAAGGAACTTTTGTGCCACTTATGCTCAGTACTGTGAAGTTTCACAGATTCAACTGCATGCGCTGAAATAACGACTGTCGTAAGTTGCGACACTGGATATATATATATATATATATAAACAATGAATGAATGGTCAAAAGGTGGCTAGCTAGGGTCACGTGGTTGCCTTGTGGGTCCAGCTTACTAGTAATACATTTCCCAGCCTATCGCGAAGCGGACACCTTTAAACTTGACTGATAGGCTTTCCTCATTCGTCAACAAAGCGTCACCTTAATGTCTTGGATATTCCAGAGCTTAAAGCTCACAGTGATGATAGAAGTGGTTTTTTGTAACAATCGTTATATGGATCAGAGTGAATATGTAGGCCATATAGGTGTACCCAGGGTGCGTCCCATGTGTGTGCAGACCACCAGATACCCTATGTATACGCCGGGAGTACCAAATGCTTATTTGTGTCCATCGCCCTAACTCAAAGGGGCTGTCAGCGTTGGAAAACACTCAAGAGAGTAACTGACCTTCGTGAATCGCTTCAATATGACGCCTTAGGCTCGATTTCTGGGAGAAAGTCTTACGGCAAAGTTTGCATCCAAAGGGTTTGAGGCCTGTCGCTGAACATTTTGACAAGGAAAATTACCTTACCTTTATGTACAGCATCAATGTGCTTGTGGAGGTCTGAGTTCCTGGTGAAACCTTTGTAGCACAGCACGCATTCAAAAGGTTTGACACCTAGGGAAAGTGAATAGGGCGAACAAGGTCATAAGGCGATCAGTTTTTTCTGTTTGAATGCGTAAATACAAAAAGCAAACACTTTAGGAACATCCCTCCTGACCTCGTCACAAATCGCACAGGGAACGATGGAATCGGTATCTGGCCGACGGGTTGGCGCTATGCGCAAAGTTGGCCATTGATTGTGGATTGTAATCAATCAGGGTATTGTTGCAGCCGGCTCATTAACTTTACAGAACAGCCGCACTTAAGTAATTCATACCATGGTTTCAAAAACAACACCCCGGGGGATAAAAGTGTCTTCATGAACAGTGCAGAAGGAAGCCAGTCAGTGTGCCCGCAAATCATCAGATGGCAACATCAGTGTTCAACACTCATGCTTCGCTACTGTACGAGAACGGTTTACTCGAAACGGTTTACTTGCGAAGAAGAACAAAAGTGGACGCGGAAAGGACTTAGTGCTAGCTTACTGGTCATTCCGAGGTGGTTACACTTCCAGACACATTCAGGCAATCCGAATGGGAACTGAACAAAAACGCCGTTGACATCGATTAGCAGTCATATCCTGCAGCACCTCCAACCAGAAGCAGTAGGAGTCACAAAGTTTTTCTTTTTAAAGTCAGTAAAAAGACGAGTAAACTAGAGAGGTGTTAGACTACGTCAGTAATTTTGAGGTTTACATTTTCAAATGCTTAATAAGAAAAGCTGAGAGCATGAAAAACCACGGACAATGGTTAGCTGCCATATCTTGCAGTCTCCATTCAAGCACAAGGAGCGCAATGACCCTATCGCGGAAAGTAAGCCGGACTAAAACCCCAGACTTTCGGGAGCCTCACCCGTTTAACTAGTCACACTTATTTGGGCCGTTTTGAGAACAATCGTTTCACCAACTAATGCGTAACAACCCAGTCGACACCGAAGTGAAATATATTTTCCCGTCAAATACTATTTGCCCCTCCCCCTGGTGAAGATTATACCAAGGAGCGCACTGGTTAATTAGCCTGCTCTGAAAATTGTTAGGATCACGGAAATCAGACATTATGGTAAAACGTCCGGTACCTGACTTGGTTCACTTGCCGATCAACCACGCGAAGGAGAGTCGCTAAGACAGCATAACAAAAAGTGGACCTGGAATCGATATGCTTTCGTACGAACCACCGGGTATGGAAGGTCCGGGTCACTCACCTTTGTGGACGGTTTTGATGTGGGCAGACAAATTACAATTCTTTGTGAACACCTTGTTGCAAAATGCACAATTTAGGACGCGGAAGCCTGAAAACCAGAGTAAGGAAATAAGATTCCGATTTACATCAACCGATTATATATATGTATATATAATTGTAAAAAACTAGTGGGGCTTAACCAACAATGTTTTAGTTAGAGCTTAGGTACTGTTTCGCCATGCTATGAGCTCCTGGACGTATCCGGCTGACAAGATGGCAAGTTCACTGCACATTCAAGTGGGCAGGTGCAGCTGTGATTTGATTCAGTTGCCACCGCAAGTTTTTAATGTCCAGAAATACCCGAAGTATCCATAAAACTGAAAATCCAATGAAGGCTTTGTTCGGAATTAACATGTCCTGAAAGGTGTTTAGCCTGCGAGAGATGACCGAAAGCAGTTTGCATCCAATGGAGCATAGCGAGAAACCCTGTGACTCATATCTTCAATTGAAGTGGCGAATTCGAGATCGTCCCACAAATAGTCCAGAGGAGCAAGCTACATGTTCAAAATGGTTAGAACGTATCCTTGTGAATTAAGAATTCACGATAGGCTGTTGTAGGATTCTGTAGTTTTCTGTCAGACTGACGGATGGAGAGTATGGCAACGCACTGGATATGATAACCCCAAGCTGATACAGTAAAATCCCACGGCACTAAATGGTTTTACTGTGGGATACCATTATCCCGTGTCCTCACAGATGTAGAAATTGCCAGTCCTAGAGATGGATGGTCTGGACTTTTACGTTCCAGTGCCGATTCGGAGCTGTCATTTGTTGCACTATACGAAGGATTCAATACAATTAAGTGAAAACAATGAGATTAAAGATGAAGTTAGATAGGGACGGCATTCCAAGAGAACTCATTCCCAAGGTCCTAGTGTTGACTGAGATCCATCGAATTGCTACTGGGTGCCTGTTCACTCATACTAAAAACTTATCTCCTAGTATTGACACTGGCCCAACAGGGGCGAGTAACTCGGACATTCGTTCAGCCGCAAAACCCTTTCAACGCCTAACCGCCATGCCACCGGAAGGATATTACTAGCAAGACACTGCAATGCAAATGAACCCAAACGAGTGTTAAGTCAAGATAGGGACAGGGTCCCCGAACAAACCCTCCCACTGCCTCGTACGTCAGACTTTTGATTCAAAGGCTCAGGATGGGGTGATTCAACCAAACCCTCTTTCTCGGTCTGAGCAGCCAGGAGGTATTATTTGCCCGCACAGATCTTTGCTCACCGATGTCCATCCCAACCCCCTTCCTGCCAAACTAGCAAACGTCGCTAGGTCACTTGGCTGTCAGTTATCGGACTGAAGGGTCTTATGCACCCGCTTCCTTTTGACAATAAACTACTCCTTTCTTAACCCACGAGATCCTTTCTACGTCCGTACTGTATATCAAATTGGCAAACAGGCAACGCCCGCCGAAACCTGATACTCTCTTAGAATTGATGTATGTTGTTTCCGAAACAAGCACACAAGACACAAGCGCGGTTATAGATATTAAAACTCCGACGACTTAATCAGTTCTTTGACATTTCTCCCTCCGTGTGTCCAGTGATCCAGAAGCGATGACTCGTGGAATATATGTCGTGGGAGTTGCAATCAACACCAGAGCTGAACGCACTTTGCTGGATTGGATCACAGTGAACAGTCGTCTTTGTGCCGTCCGGTTATCCAGCTCAATGAAGCTTAATGCATCGACATAAAAAGCGGTGCCTGTTTGTGGTGTCGGCTTATGCCCCAACGGACTGCAGTAGTGATGCTCAGAAGGGTACTTTCTATTGAGGCTTATCCAACCTCATTCGTCAAGCAAGAAGCACTGACAATGTGATCCTTGCGGGTGATATGAATACCCAAGTCGGTCGTCCAAGCTCATTGGAATCACATTTGGGCGATCGATCCGGAGTCGATGCTCGTCGCGCAAACAACGTACAGCGATTTCTCCAGTTGTGTGCTGATCACGAACTGTTTCTGACCAGTACGAAGTTTTAACGTAAACGTTCGCACCGCGTAACCTGGCGGACAAAAACTGTAAATCAGCCGTGGACCCAGTTTAATCACGTGGTCATCGGCCACCGGTGGAGAGCCACAATTCAAGACTGACTTTCATTCTGGGGCACACAACTTTATTCCGATTATGCGTTCACGTTCGTTTCCATTCAGACCCTCGCAGATCATCGAGAGGCATGCTAATCCACCATGTTCCAAGAACTACCATATCAACAGTATCGATCTGTCTACAATAAACCAATACCGTATTGCTAGTGAGCGTGGCAAAATGTGAGAGGAGCTATGCTAGTAGCGTTCAGTGCTTTCTGTCCGACTTCTCCGACACGACCGAACGATCACTGGACATCGCCGAGATCGCTAGTCGTGACTGATACCAGCAGGCAGCGAGTACAAAGGCACACGTAAATCCCTCAAACGCCAAATAGTGAAGAGTCTAAGGAAAGACCGAGAACTCTGGTGAACATCGAGAGCTCGGGTACCGGAGCTTGTTACCGGAAACAGCTGCGCCCTATATCAACTGATACAGTCGACTGGCCCTGAGAAAGCAGAGGTCATTGAAACGATAAGTGAAGAAGGCAGCTCATCAATTCACTCACAAAAACGTCAACTAGAATAATGGGCCAAACATTTTGAAGAGCAGTCTTGCTTCCCCTCCTGCAATACAGCCTGTGGAGGGCGCATAGGGCGATCGGAATGTAAAGCTTAATCGTCCATCGGCGGAAGAAAAAATATCGCTATTGAAACGTGAGAAGGCGCAGGGACGGATGCGGTTTGCATTCAGCCCTTTTCAAAGAAGGCAGATAATCCCTGGTGACCCATCAAACAAAGCTTATTGCGGCGACATGGAGCAAAGCTAAATTGCCTCCAGAATGGGGTATGTCGACAAATATTCTTACCTTCTAAAAGGGTATGCGGACGCTGTGTGAAAACTACCGTGGTATCATCCTGGTAGCTGCGGATCGAGGATGCCCTCTGGTTTGATCGTTCGAAGGTTGATTGGAAACAGGGAGAGACAGATCCGTGAAAAACAAGCTGGGTTCCGTTCACACTTCCATCCTCCGACCCTGCTTCCAGGGCCAACAACTGCTGTCTTCTTTGACTTGAAAGCTGTCTTTAAGTTTGTGAGCCGTCTAGTATGGCAGTATGTGGAGCAAAGCTGCTCCCCACGAAATATTTGCTCTGTTCATGGCGCTGCACGTCAACTCCTGCGTCTGTTACGAATAGACTGTACCTTACCGTGGTGTGACGGTTTGTGAACCTCAGCGATCCATTGAGCTATATTGGGGAGTGTCCCTGTGACACTCACAGTCTCTCATACCAGGTTGGTCAATGGTTAGACGCCTGACGAACACAGTCTCCTGGCCCTCCAGGTTGGGGGTTGGAACATGTGGCGACTTGTTCCGTAGAAATGGTAATGCATTTGCATTTCCCTCCAAACACCGCTGCCTTGCGGTTAGGCTTTTGAGCCAAAGGCTTTGGTTGAGGACCCTGATCGTCCTCCTGTCTAGGTGTGGGCGCCTTGGCAGTATCCCAGTTCACGTACAACCATGAATTACAGCAGTGAAGCATCGGTGTTGAACACTGATGTCATGCTGTCAGTGATGCTGATGATGATGATGCAACTCCGGCGGACGTATGATGGTCTAGGGTAAGCTCTCACCTGAGTTCACGACATCGAGTGGCATCAGGCAACACTGTCCTCTCTCACTTTTCCTCTTCAATTTTTCACTGATAAGATTAAGGAAGACCCACTACCAGCCTCTAAGGCTTGTGGGGTCGGGGTGCTCTAAGGGTATTCGCCCACATATATCGAGCACACAGACGATATAGCTCTTCTGAGATCTGACGCCATGGTAGTGCAGACAATATTAAATAATCCAATGATTCTGCCTCACGGTTTGGCATTCTATTCACACCTGCAAAGTGCAGATTGCTGCTGCAAGACTGTGTGGGCTCGAACCCTAGTCTTATGCTTGCGGATGGGTCGATTGAGGTAGCAGGCAAACTTATCTATCTGGGCATCTGTATTAGTCCCAGTAGTCTTGGTAAAGGCATTTCAACCCGGACTGGGAAGATCAGAGGAGATTTGTTTGGGTAGGTATGACACCAGCATATTCGACAAGGGTTAAGTTTACAAAGCTGCGGTGCGCTCCATATCATTACACGGGTCAGAAACCTGGTCGCTAAGCTCTGAGGACGTCAACAGACTTTCAGCGTACAATCATCGGTGTCTTCGGAGCGTTGTACGAGTCTAAAGGAAATATGGATGGTTTTCGGAAGAAATAGGTCGCCCAATATAGACGAACTGAACACACCGCCTCGACTGCGCTGGCTTGGCCATGTGCTCTGTATGCCAGTTGACTGAACTTCTCGAAGGGCTCTTTCATCACAACCACAGGAAGGGTGGGAATGAGTCAAATAATGACCTGGCAGCGAAGTATGAAAGCCATTACCAGAAAACCCAGCTGCGCTGACCATTACCATCTCCCCGGATGGGGACCCCCGAGGTGTGATACACCAATGGTGAGACATTGTCAGACAAAGCCCAGTTGCGTCCTCAATAGCACTCGTGCATTTAAGCTATTGACTTCAATCCATAGCTCCCCTCCTGCTCTTCCCAGTTAAAACTCCAATAACAACCCTGTATTTATACATCAATTATATCGGCTACCGCCTCCAATGCGCAGCTATCTACCCGACCTCTCCGAATCATCGGTGAACAAAACTGTGGCAGCTAAAACCACTGCACGGCAAGCACGCTGTTTTTACAGCTGACGGTAATCTATAGATCTACAGAGTTATAGATCTCCTCTAGGGTCTATCAGCTTGTTGATAAGGGAATCCACCTATCAGGCCTATCTAGGTATCCACACTCGGGAAGTGAAAGCAAACTGAAGTGAATACAAATCCAGACAGGATATATCAAGGTATACCGGTTTATTGTGAATTTGACTTGCCTGAACTCTGACCATCAGCACCGCCGTTGGAACTTGTACTTTCTCCAGTGAGGCCGCTTAAGTCGTACTGTTCAGAATCGATTTCGGTACCTGGAATATCGCTAGAAAGGCGCATCTCAACTTACCTTCATGCATCAACTCGAAATGTTTGTGCAATAAACTAGGACTGGTGAATGTTTTACCACATAAACAGCATATGTTGACCATTTGAGCTGAATACGGAGGCTGATTCAAATTTCACCAATTTACCTTCGTCACAAGCATTTGCGAATGTCGTTCCGACTCCCGGAGATTCGTTCATTCGGTATTTCTTTAAAAAAAAGACGCTTTAGATATGGTCGAGCAAAAGGCAGAGCGGCTCAGAAAAAGAGGGATAAAAGGAAATATGGGATCACGTATGATTAAAGGTTCACTCTTCTGTTCATTCATTCCCCTCCCCCCCAAAACATCAACCACACATCAGATAACTCAGAAGATTTCCATCTGGACAGCTCTCTCAGATAAGAGCATTAACACAATAACAGAGCATGCTAGATGAGTCTGGGACGGATCAATCAATCGACGTATCATTCGATGCATCAAGCAATCCGACCATATCATTCAAAAGGACAACGTACCTTCTTGTTCAAGTTTGAAAAATTATATTCACTTAACGCCTGATGACGGACTGGCTCTAAGCTCGCCTCGCACAAGAAAGCAGGAGTATAAATCACGGAACAACTAGTGACATACATAATCGACGAGCTGAACTTGGGTCTATTGCTTCTTTACTTTAGCACGGATCAAACAGAATAATTGTATGAGGTAAGAGAGGGACTGCCCGAACAAGTGATGTGGATACGAATTTTATACAGCCCCGAACTACTCACATGTTTCGAAGAACATGGATATATGCTGTATTCACTCTACTACCATGATAACTGACCAGTTTCTAAGCTTCTTCAGTTTAATGGAATTAGCGAAATACACTCGTCTTCACATGCGTTCGGTTCTGACTGACGGTCTAATTGGTTTAACCCTCGCTCACGATAATCTTCAATTGAATTTGTGCACACAGGCCGCCTCATGTTTCAGTTGCTATGATATTTGAGATATCGGAGTAGATTTTCTTGAAGATAACTACTCACAAAGTGGGCTGTCAGACAGTTTTCAGTAAACTTAATGGAATTAATTTCTTTTTTTTTGGAAAGAAAAGACGAATCGTCTACCAGGTAACGAGTAACCCACCGTGCCAGCGGCGTTGGACCACAAAATCTTATGAAACCTATAGTTGCGCAACAAGGAGAAAGTTATCACCTAAGGAAGCCTTTTTTGGAGGAAGCTATTTCTTGCATCAAAGAAGCACGGTTGTCAGCATGGGAGTCTGTACCAATGAAGCCGATGCTCGCGAGGGGTGTGATGTTTACTGTGCATACTTAACACTGCTGACCCCATCAACCTAGGCTTTACTTAAAAAGCGACATTTAAATTTCGAACAAGCAAGTGTACCCTGAAGGGAGCGAGAATGGTTTATAATGTTATGGAAGGCAAAGTTTCACGTGATTTTTGCTAACCTCATTTCTGACTGACGGATGTTGGAAGCTGAAGTTCATATCCAGGTTAGCTGGCCTACTGTCTCAAGTTAGTACCATAGTTAGTTGAGGGGTTGTGAGCCGGAATACTCAAGTCAAAACAAGCAACTAGATGATACCGATTCTCACCCCGAACACGGTCTCAAGCTAGGAAAATACCGCCCTCAGTTTACGAGATTCCGCTGTAGTTTGGTTTTAAACGGATATTTCATCCTATCAGCGAGGCCCCTCATAATGAAGAGCCGAGGAGCACTGTACAGTTGCTCATCCTTATTGGGAATCATCAGCAGTGAGCGTTTCACAAAGCTCTGTTCTGAACCCGCAACCTTCCGATCAGTGTGAGGCGCGACAACATTTCAACGTGCGAAATGAAGGAGACCAGTTGCTGGAACAGATCTTCACAGGAGACTGATAATCATCAAAATGGCAACAATCGGGACCAATTGGGAGGGCAATGCATAAGAAATCCTTCAACAAGCGTTTCACTGGATGACAACAGTTAGGTCCAGTTACTGCGAGTGGCTGGATCCGCTGTCTCCCTCACTCAACTGACTCTTTACTTTCGGCAGTTACAAGGAAGTCACTGACATTTGCGCGCGCCTTTTTGAAGTGATCTCATGCTAGTTGCACGCGTAGACCGAAACTCGGGCTTGGTATAATCGCCAGTTTATTTCAAATGGAAGTCGGCAATGCAAAACAGTGATCACTAAACTAGCACCTTCTACTGAATGACTGTAATCGTATCGTTAGGATGTAACACCTTTTCGGTGCCTAGTTGCCGTGCCATCCGAAGGAAGCACGAGGGCTAAAATACTGCCACGGCGACCAAGCCTAGACAGGGGAAGTCTAAATAAAGAGGCCGGATTTGAATCACGGACCTTCCGGTCAGTTAATTCGTATTCTAACCACTGAGTGACTATAAGTGTGTTCAATCAATTGGAAGTTTGGAACCGATTGAGAAGTCATCGTTTTAGAAGGGCTTGGCGAACAATCGGTAGTTATTAACTTGGCGGCGTTTCGCTTCCGACACAAAGCTTCATCAGGCCAAGTGAGCAGATCACCAATTTGGCCAGCTAGACAGACGGAGCGAGTGGCTGGATCCGCTGTCTCCCTCACTCAACTGACTCTTTACTTTCGGCAGTTACAAGGAAGTCACTGACATTTGCGCGCGCCTTTTTGAAGTGATCTCATGCTAGTTGCACGCGTAGACCGAAACTCGGGCTTGGTATAATCGCCAGTTTATTTCAAATGGAAGTCGGCAATGCAAAACAGTGATCACTAAACTAGCACCTTCTACTGAATGACTGTAATCGTATCGTTAGGATGTAACACCTTTTCGGTGCCTAGTTGCCGTGCCATCCGAAGGAAGCACGAGGGCTAAAATACTGCCACGGCGACCAAGCCTAGACAGGGGAAGTCTAAATAAAGAGGCCGGATTTGAATCACGGACCTTCCGGTCAGTTAATTCGTATTCTAACCACTGAGTGACTATAAGTGTGTTCAATCAATTGGAAGTTTGGAACCGATTGAGAAGTCATCGTTTTAGAAGGGCTTGGCGAACAATCGGTAGTTATTAACTTGGCGGCGTTTCGCTTCCGACACAAAGCTTCATCAGGCCAAGTGAGCAGATCACCAATTTGGCCAGCTTTTAAGACAGACGGAGAACCAAACAGTAAGACCTCTTCAGATTAACACACTAGATCAATGCTGAAAAACGATTAAAAGGTCTTGTCAGTTCGTGTGGTTAACTAAATGCAGGTGACGGGTTGGGAGAGTTTCAAATTAGTTTTGGTCGGGTTTGGTTCCTTAATCTTCCACTTCAGAGTGCTTCAACTGTTGGTTCATATTGGGTGCCACTGGTAAACTTCGTTCATTTTCATGGGCTTGTGAGTGCTATAACTTAGTTGGGGGAGGGAAATTGGGTGAGACTAAGCGAAATTCAGACTCAAGTTGCTTGTGTTGATTACCTTTTTGATAATCGCACACCAACATCTGTCAGCTCGGCCGATCCAAAACCGTTCTACACATGCTTGCCAGTTCTACGACTTTTATTCTATTAACACTGAGATGCTTGGCGAGTTGTTGTTACTATAGTTGTTAATGAAAGTATAGACGTCACAGATACGACGACTGATGAGGAAACCGGGTGAAGCAGGCTACTATATGAACACATCATCCTGATGTTCTGAAATGGATGGGGGCTTGCTTGGAGGGACACAAGTAATTCTGAAGCATTCCACAGATCACCATAATTACATACCTGATACGCTGCCTTATGTGAAGAGTGGGTGGGACGTACGAAAATCAGCCACTACAACGGTCTCAGAAATTAACATAAGTAGAATCTAGGGTGCATGTTGAACTGATGGTGCGCCACAGACCCTCGTCACATAAAAATGGTTCAAGAGGTCTCTTTCAAAACAAGCTGCTCATTATAGATAAGTTAAATATTCTACCCACAAAGCGGAAATCCCACACGTGGATCGAAAGCGAACTAAATAACGTGGATCACTAACTACCACTTGCTTTGTAACACGTGTGAATTTTGACTATGTATTGGTCTGAAATCACTTCTTTTCGCGTAAAAGGAGGGTGGAAACCCTGGAAACGGACATTCCGGAGTTGAAGAAATTTGTCAGGACCATCTTCTGAACCCTCCCTAAGCGTCCCACCATCGGTCGTCAATTCGTACTGGAACGAGATCGCCACATTCTTGCACAATAAATGGCGTTTGGGCTGTAGCACGATACTATCAGGTCCACTAAGGCGCTGGATATCGGATCGGGGCGAGGTGGACATCTGAGATGGATATCGGATAGAGCAGCGACGCTGCTCAAATCGCGCAGAAATGTTCCAAATGGTTCCGAACATATCAGACGTCAGGCGAGAATTAGTTTGCAGGCCGAACCTGAATCCCGTTGGACACAGAAAGGTAAGGATTTCAGAGAGACACAGAAAGCCTGAAATTTCAAATTATTTTACTTGATCCGTGCGGCCGGTCCCCAGGGGCTTCCTGTGGGTGAACTCATTGTCATCTACTATCATTCACAGAAACACCAGATAGGAACACTGGTGTCCCAGTGCCACAAAACCATGTCAGTTAACTACAACAAGGCCTACGAATTGAAATAACGAAGAACTGGGTTGATCTGACCCCACATTCACGCTCCGTCAGTTCACAGACTGATGGCATTAATTAATGCGTCCCAGAATTTCCGTATTTCTGTTTCCAGGGCGCATTTGGTCCGTAGTCCTTAACACGTTTTTCTAAGAGAGAAATGCCCCCTATGTTTGTCGCAAAATTATTTGTATCTTCAGAATTCTTGAAGCGTGGGAATATTCAAGAGCTCTCCGAAAGCCTCAATATACAAGGTGGTATCCGAGATGCGTGGCCACTTCTTTTCATTTCGGTTTCGTGGTTGGCTAGTAAAACGAACGCCAAGTTTTCGAAACCCTAGTGACCGAATAGCTGACGAAAACCCAATCGGTCATCGTCGCTACACCCAACCGCAAAATTCCATGGCGAAAATGTTGATATGAGAAAAGGGGTATTGGGCATGGATTACGGTAGTTTGGATATACGGGTTATCTCTATGAAAAAAATCAACCAGCCGCGATAACACCTTCAGGGTTTCGTAGTTGTGACCTGACTGCGCTACGTACCGCAGCTTCAGGCGGGTGAAGTGAATGCCCAGCAAGATAACGGCTCACCTGGATACTCCATGTATATTTGTTCAGTTTCTTCACAAGCGTGAAGTAAACTTGCATGCCCAAACTATTTCGTGCGAGAAAAGCTGTGAAATCTGCGGCAAGGCCACAGGATCACCAAAAGTTTAAAATTGCCGCGATCGCTCACGCAACATGAATTCAAAGGGCTACAGTAGATTCAGCAATACGGGCACTTGGTGTCTGTAAACAGGAAGCAGGGCAAGAAAATCCGGTATAATAACCACTCCCCTATTCAATGAATTCTTGTGAGTTCCGTGAGCAACTCGGTAAGGTGTTTCCTGGACTGAGCGGATGGGATTTCTGAGCTATGCTGGGACGCCTTGTAAGTCGATGCCACGCTACAGGCATTCGTTCCTGTCTTGTCTCTAGCACCGCTTAAGCCTTCTCTTGAAAACTGTACGCTGTGTACTCGGGTTCATCAACTGTGTTGCTCACTCTCGCCTCAGTGATAGGATTTTATTTCCCCTAATTCTGCCAAAACGCAGTCACGAATTTCCAATATCCCGGAGCGAAAAATCTCGTGCTCGGGAATGTCGTCAAGTGATTTTTATGGTCATCTGAGGTCTTGAAAGTCCACAGCACGAACTGCCGAACGAGTGCAATAAGGCAGTCAGGTGCTTGGCTACTTTAATTCGTGAGTGCCTCCTTTAAAATTTTACCAGTTTGTCAAGATAACACTTTAAATTTTCCGTGATCACGGCATCCGTGCCCGATTATTTCGTCTGCGAAGCATACCTATACAACACTGTCGGATTAAGCGCGCCACTCTAGATGAGTTTGTGGTTTCCGCAAACCGCGCTAGTCACTTGTTTCCGTGGCTATGGCCCTAGTGCGTTTTATCCTTTCATCCGCAGGGAGTCAAACGGCGGTGTCGATATTGCGGTCGACCACTCCATGTGATTTCTGTCCCACTGCGGATGCTGTTCGAACGGCTGTGGGAAATAAAAATGGGGTGAAAATGACTAACTCCACGACTTTGTCATCTGTTCCTTTGGTTACAACGTTTCGGTACCAACGTTAACTAGATCGGACGTCAGACCCACTTGGGTAAATAAGTTTCGCCTTCCTGGTCTAAGTGGATATTCTGCTGTATGTCAATGAGTGAATTTGGTGTTTATAATACAGGGTCCAGATGGCGGGATGAGAAACAACGGCCGTAATTCTGCCAAAACTGCGCACTAGGTCTTAATACAAGGCTGAATCTTACTAGCACATGTCCAGTCAGAATTAGATTAACTGATAGGTAGACAAAAAGAATCTAACCGAATCGTGTCGTTTGCTTATCTGTTTCCGGGCCACTGTTGGAAGGGCTCCGGAGTTCTTGCCTAAACCCTGCATGGACTTTGCTAAAATGCTTCGGGATGTGGTGTATAGAGTGGAGATACCTGCAACCAAAACAGTGCATGGCGGAACAAGGTGTTTTAATCTGGTCTTTCGGTTACGACGACTAGCTAGAATCTCAGTGGTACGCCGAAGCTTGGGAGGCTGTTTGGTCCTTGGACTGGCATTCGCTCGGATACTGACTGGTTGCCGTAATGCTTTCATCGCTGAGCTTCATGGGCAGTCTCCGCGTTCGTTTGTTGGGAGTTTTTGGGTCTTTTTTTGCCACGTCACTACAAGCTGCCCAAAAGGCGGACAGTCCAAAGTATACGCTGATATCTGGCCGGATATTCAGGGGCAGTTATTTACTTCTTTTCGTCTAATTCCATGCCTATTGTTGTTTCTTTGAAGTCTGCCATACAGGTTTGCGGCCACCATGCAATAGGTGGTATCCTGTTGGACAGATGACGGAACGCGGCGCCCATACGTTATTGTCTATGGTAAGCGAAGTCACTTACTGAGCGTTGGAGTGTCTTTGAAGTGTGGTAAGTAAGCTTCGACCACCATCAGCGACCCGAGTAGGTGCACCAACAAGAGCCTTTCATGGTGTGCAAACACCAGTTGATTGAACCAGAAAAAGCGTTCTGCTCACATGCGGGCACTTTTTGCCGACGGTTTACCCAACTTCGCCTTCACATGAGGTAGACAACCGCAAAGTTAAGATCTTTGGCAATTCAGCATAAGAGGCACCGATCATATCGATGCATGTCTCTGTTACCCCCAGTGTATGCAACCGGTCTAAATGTGACTGAAACAGATCAGAGCTGCATTCGGCACAGCGGGCTCACTGTTATTATGATTCTGTTTAAAGATGTATGTAGATAGGTAAAGAGGTTTTTTTTAGTTAAGTCTTACTTAAATGCATTTATTTTTCTTCCCTGCAGGATTTGAGGGTGAGTGGAAGGTTTGTTCTGACGTAATTCCCTTCTTGCATCTGTGTGGTGCAGATTAGTAAATGAGTGCGCCTTATCAAAATGAGAATACGAAGCTCTGGCAGGCCACCATATCTTGCCGTCAAATGAAACGCTTCTGTATGTGTTGCAAATTTTACTATTGGAGCACGCGTTGGGACTCAACGGCTTTAGACCCCCTGGTGCCGAAATTGACATTATGGCATCGCCCTCTGACTCTGATGAAAAGCCTACTATTAATATACGCAATGGCATAGAGTGGACTGGGGTATCAGAAGGCGGATTAAGCCAATGCAACAAGGAAGCATATGCGGGTCATGTCCAGGGAGACCCATCATAGGTTCATTACTTTAAAAAAACTGGAACATCTCCGTTCGTTTCCCCTTCCACTATATACGCCATTAACACTAAGAAGCAAACGGGGTCTTCTAAGCTGGCTAGAAGAAGCCTGCCGTGCAGCTGGCCTGCATATCCAAGCGGAAGCGATCTCTCCACTGGCCATCCACAGACGTGAACGCACCAGCAAAGAGGAACGAGATCTTTGCAGTAGTTTCAAGTGTGAGCTTGTATACTGGATTGTTCGGTGTTTTTTCCGCTCATAAATTATTGAAGCCAGTTTTACGGTTAAATATTAATCACCGAGAGTTGAAGGGTGAGATGTCCATGTAGTATTTTGTACACGAGGAATATTTCCTGAGAGTATTGCGCATAACAACGGCTCTGGGTGCCTTGGTGCCTCGCTCCCTCAGTAATTAATGGCGTTTGGTGCGTTGAAGGTGGTTTACGAGGTCGTAACCGTGTAAAAACCGCTACAATAATCCCGCTATCAGCTCGCCGCTCAGCAACTAATCTGAGTGTGTGTCTCCTGGGAGCAGCACGAGCCTGTGTTCCCCTTCTAGCTCTTCTAGCTGTAAATTACTCGGCCACCTATTTCGTGGGCGCTGTACCCCAAACTGTTACCAAGTCACTTGTCTGAGCCCCACTAACGGTAGCTTCAACACTCATCCTGTCAATATAGCCGACCACTTGAATACTTACTTTGCCAGCTGCTACTTACCTCCTTCTCCTCAGTTCAATCCTACAATCTCCGCCTCATATTCCACCTCTCTACAACAGAGTAACCGCCCGTCTCTGAGCAGCTTGACCATCTCCCTAGCTGATGTATCAGCCCTTCTTCAAAACCTCAGAGACTCCGCCGTGCCGGTAGGCGACGGCATACCATCGCGTGTCCTGAGATATGGCGGTCAAGATGTCAAAACCCTTGTCCTAAATCTTTTTACTCACTCAGTCAACTCTGGAATCGTCCCCTCTCAGTGGAAACAATCTGTTGTTCGCCCCCATTTTAAATCCTGATCCAGGCAAACTGCTTCGAATTACAGAGGGATCCACCGTACCCCTCATTTAATGCAAACCCTCGAACGTCTGGTAAAAGGCCCGTTAATCAGGTTTCTCCTAGCTACAAACGCCATAGATGATCGACAGTATGGATTTCTATCTCAGAGATCCGTAAATGGCTGCCAACTTCACTTCTTGGAGACCGTCACAGCAGCATACGACGCTGGATACGCCATAGTAACAGTCTATCTGGACATCCAAAAAGCCTTCGGCCAGGTTCCCCACGCCTCCCTGCTACACAAACTTAGCACCGTTGGCATCACGGGAACCTTATTTCAGTGGTTTTCCTCCTATTTATCAGACAGGGGGCAAATAACGCAAATCGGGGACATAAAATCTTCTCCACTACCGATCACTAGCGGAGTCATCCAAGGAAGCGTGCTAGGCTCCATCCTTTTCTTACTATACATCAATAACTTCTTCGGCGCCATATCCCACGGTAAGGCCTTCCTCTTCGCGGACGATATAAAAATCGCGTACACATTCCCCATCTCTGCAAAACCCCTTGCCTTTCACCGGATTAAGCAAGACCTAGATTCACTGACTCGCTGGCCAAACGACTCTGGCCAAAGCTTCTCCTCCACAAAATCCTGTAAAACTTCCTGCCGCTGCTCTCTCCCGGCTGATGCCTTCACAATTAATGGAAATCCTATTACTCATTCCACAGAGATCAAAGATCTCGGCCTCAGATATTCCTGTACTTTTAGCTTTTCCCAACGGGTGCAATTTCAGGTAGCGAGAGCGCGCAGGCTCAGTTTTTTAATACTGCGCTCCTGCCACCTTCCAGACACGACGGTTGCAATCTTTAAGCTATGCGTACGACCAATCGTGGAATTCTGTCCCACGTTCTCCTCCCTCTACACTCGAAGTTGCAGACTCGCAATTGAAAGCGTCCAACGCTCATTTACGAAAAAACTCTTTCCTCGAATAAACCCCCTCTCTTACCGCTCCCGCTGACAAATCCTAGGCCTTGAACCACTATGGCTTAGACAGTTAAAATTGAATCTTCCTCTCTTGCACCGTTTGCTGCATAAAAACGCATTTATAGCAGAGGCTAGACCAAGCATAAACTCACAACCTCGCTACAGACTCCGCAACTCCTGCAGTCTCTTAGTGTGTCCCCCAGCCCGCACAAACCCACGCTGCTACTTCTTTCTAGTTTATTACGCTCGCATCTGGAACAGCCTTCCTGAGCAGCTGTGAAGCATCACGCATCACCATGCTTTTTCTCAGCCTGTGAACAAATTCCTTACCTGTGCAACTGCTGCCGCCTTACTTAACACTCAACTACCCTCTGACCTCCTCCACGAACCAGGTCCAGTACGCATATGAGCTGAGCGACGTTACAGCTAGTAGGCAAGTAAAGGATCCCGTTATCATTTCTTCCCATCCTATTGACCCGCTTTAAGCTAACCAAGGACTAAATGCCAACTTGATCTAAATATTCAGCGTTACTGGCCTAGTTGTTTTCTTTCTATATTTTTCCCCGTACCAACTTACACCCCGTACTAGTCTAGTTCCTACACCGGACTACTCTATAAACTCTGTCTAGCGTCTAGTGTTCTCGTTCATACTCTACTGATAAAAACCAAATCAAAATTAGCTATTTCTTCCCCAAATCACTGCACGACTTAATCACCTACTAATTATAATTATGCTGTGTTACTGGCCTGGTTGTTTTCTCCTACCCAGTCAACTTATGCTTCGTCCTAATCGAGTCCCTACCCCGGATTATTCTATCAGCTCTGTCTAGTAACTGGTGCTTTCAGTCTAACTCTAACTGATAAAAACCAAACCAAAGTCGATTTATTTCTTCATTTCATTATCAGAGCGCATCCTGCGCTTATATATATCCATTTGATAATTTGTTCCACTAAACACTCCCAAACACAATATCGCGGTACGCTTCTGCTCAAAGTGACAGCCCACACCAACGCTCCGACGCCGTTTAGCCATGGTGCAAGCCCCGTGAGTATCAACATTCTAGTCCCACCGACGCATTGACAACTGACATTTCACCTCTCATCCGCGAATTGCCTCTACCAGCGTCTGCATGCTGTTGCTAGTTCGGATTGACTGAGCTGTCTTTACTGGCCATGCTTCTCCCCGACTAGAAAATGGTAGCTGGAGTATTTATTAATGCACAAACCGCACTTATGATTGCTTGGATGGTTTTCCACCTTGTAGATCTGGTAGCATGCACGAGGGAAAAAGACCTCGTGTGGTGGACGGGTACGCCCTGCAGGGAGGGTCGCCCTGTTACGTTGCACCATGGTGCGTTCGTATGCCCGCCACCCCTCCAGTAGCATGGGTGCATCGCCCATCGCCGGTGGTTCTGAGTCTGGCCTTTAAATTCAGGAAATCAAAAAAAGTACTGCTGAATTTTGTTTGTTGCTGCTGGTGTTGGGCTCGCCTCGGTAGAGTTATACAAAAAGAGTTATACAACTGGACTCTCATCTGTAAAAAAAGAAAAGAAAGAAAAATAAAAGATCACTTGGGATAGCCTGAAAATACTCTGCAATGCCCATGACCTACATCGGCGAGCGTAGTTGTATCTGCTTTCGTCAGGACAGAGGCTACACCGCACCAAAGCCCATTCCGTCATCCAGACAGAAAATACATCTATTCACCACTCACAGTGGTAGACACGAAAGTCTTCACCGCTATGCATCACCTACAGATAAGGGCTGATAGCAGTGCTTCGGGGACTGGTGACTATTTCTCAAGCATACACTTTCTCTCCTGGTATATATCCAAACTCATGTAATAAACACTCGATTAACCAATTAGCTCAGAATTCCATTCCCGCCAGCCCCTGCACATCTGATTTCCATACCACGCATTTGCGCGCTCATGTCG